GAAATGAAAGCATCTCTTCATTGACTCGATATAACTTTGGCACCAAAACGGGTGGAAGAGATGCACAGACACTACAGTGACTACAAATCAATGGTAATGAACTGTTAATGCTTTCGTTTAAATGAATAATATTTTGATAAAATAGTCTATTATTTAGTATTTTGTGTAGAAAAACAACCAAAAAATGAAATTTTTAACAAATAGTGCAGAATATGATGAAAAGAGCACAACATTTACAACAATAATATATTATAATAGAATTGAATTTAAAGTTTGTCTCTAATATTGATCTTTTGGTGAATAATAGGGCTTTAAAATACAAACAAATGATAAGGTATTCACGCAAAATGTTAACACAAAGTGAGAGACAGAAAGAGAGAAAAAAATAGTGGAAGTTATCGATTGACCGATTGATGAGATGCTATGTTGTGCCAGAAGTGTATTCATGTGATGATGTCTGCCATCAAGACTAGCATTCAATTTATATGCTATTTGTGATGACATAACTAAACATTATGATTGCAATCATATATTTGTGCGGCACTGAGATATGGGTCTTAATAAGCGAGTGGACACATACATGGCATACATGTGCTGTTTGGGCCCAATTCGCTCAGATTGGCATATGATATGACCATAAGTCCCATTATATCACAATCGTACCAAATATTAAAGCAAAAACTATATTAACGTATTCATCAATCATGTCATCTCTTATGCCAACCGACTCTTACATTACATTATTCTTTAGTCTAAACTTTCAAAACACAACTCTTATAACAACTGTATATAAATATTATTCTTAAAAGAATACAAACAAACAAAAAATGAAATGAAAAAAATGATTTCATAAAATGATAAATTCATAAAATCAATATAAATGTTAATATTACGTGAATACAAATCTAAAATAACATTCAGATATCTTATATTGCAATTAATACGCGATTTGCTTACATTTAGTTAGAGATTATAAATGAAGATATAATTGAATTAAATTAAATGTTTGTGCGTTGAATGGAGGCATGAATGGTATCCTACACTACAATAGACATTACATGTATGAATGAGACCTCATCTCATGATTGGGGGAACAATAGGAGAATTTGTTCACAATTTTATTCTATTTAACAATTAATTGATTTCTTTATGTCTTATTCCTATCCAACAAATAAAGGATAGAAATAAATGCTATAAAATAGAGATTTAATGACACTTTCCTTCACATCTTTTTCCTATTTATAAAACAAATTATTCGAAAGGAATAATATTCACACCTTTTATATAACCATTCATATAATATTTGTAAAAATACAATGAGATTACATAGATGGATAGATACGTGAATATTATATATAATGTGAATGTAGTGCTCGTTTCAAATAATATCAAGGAAAAGAGTGCTCATCTATTAATTTGTTATTAAATGGATAAATATTCAACTAGATTATTTAAACTAATCATTTACCACAATAGACATAATGCAAAAACAAATATTAATTTTCAATAAAATTTGACACTAAATTGTTTTTGATAGCTAATAGAAATAGCTTCATGTCAATAATAAATAATAATATAATAATCGGTTCTCATATTAATATACATTTATTTACAAACCAAATAGTTTTTATAATATAGGATTACATAAGCGTTGAAAATAGGCTGCAAATTGTAAATATTGTGTTTTATCGATATTTAATGAAAGTATAGAAAAACAATTTTTTGCCAAATAATAGTTACATAGATTAATATGTTGTGAGCACTCAATCAATATATTTGTCAAATAAAGATAAATCACTTCCTATTCAAGAAGTGTTTAACTTTATATTTCATTATACGTACATTTAAATCAAGTTTTATTTTTCTTTTATATAAATATTTCCTTTTAATTATTAAAAACTCATAAAAATGTCAGTAAAATAAAAATATTCAATTTGACGATTAGACATGTCGTCTAATATACCATTTAATCATTCATTTGTGGCTAATATCCAACAGATATTAATACCATGTCTATTAATTAAATGTATGGTTTGTCTGATTTAATATAAGGTCCATCGGTTGGACTATAGTCCATAATAATGGTGTAATAAAATTAGTAATAGAGTTGCGGCCGTAATAATACAATTTATCACAATGTATATTAAAATGACATTGATCAAAATGTTCGGTAACTTATATTAAGCGCATTAAGTATTGAATTAAGCCGTATATAATTGATATGAATTGTAAATAACATGAATAAGTGGTTGTTTTGTGAATGAATAGTAGTTTTGTGCCAAATATAGTGATAATTAAGGAAATTATAAAACAATACAATACTAAATATATTGAATGTTTTTGCCCTTTAAATGCCATAAAACGTCAAACATATGACAGACAAACAAAACCTTGAATTGTCATTAGTTTTCGAGTGAATGACTTCTTATGTCCGCATATGAGAGACAATATCATCTTAAGGACTGTCGATCACATGAACCACTTATTGAGTGTTGAAATAAGAAATGATAATATCATACAAACCATTGAGTTGTTGTTGTAATGTAAGAGTAGTGAAGATGATTAGTAGGAGCGACGGCTCGACGGTGTGTGCCATTGAATGGTGTGTTTAAATGAGTTGATTATCTTGGGATGAGTTGGTGGTGATGATTGGTAGCCATTGTTAGGCACATCCGTATGGGTCCAGCACTCACTCTGTCACTCACTGACAGCCACTGCCAGACAAGCGCTTCAATGCGTTCACTCAATACAAGTCTGTTATACTGGAGTCGAGGCACTAGTCTTTAGGCAGTACTTCACATCCCATTACCCCTAAGGCTATATCACTAACAATTGAATGTCTATTTATTACAAAATTAATTACAAATGTAATCAAAAAATATTGTTTAACTTTATTTGGCTTTTTAATTGCTATTACAATGAATGTAGTGTTCACTACAATATACCGGTGCAGTACTATCGCACCGATACCTTAACAATACCAACACTTGTATCAGATTTGGTTCAAAGGATTGTCACTTTCTGAACAGTCGTGTCATTTGTATAATTCATATAAAATAACTATTTTTAAAATTTAATTGCATATCAAAACCATTGTTTATATATTTGATTATTAGGTTATTATAAACTTATATTAAGAAATAATAATTATTTGTATTTGTTTTATAACCCTTTATCCCTTTTTTCGGTTATTTATGAGCACTTATAACACGTAAACTTATAACACTTTTTAATTTATAAGTTATAGCTTTGACTTCAATTGAGAAAAGAGTTTTTCTGCTTTCATAGCCACAGAGATATTGCCTTTAATTTTAAGTTTTCCGGACATGAAAGCAGTGGTCGGTTTGACCTCTCCTTTGGCCATCTTCTCGAACGTCTCGTCATCTGTGATGAGAGTCACGTCAGCGCTCTTTGATTCTCCCTTTTCTACTTTCAGGGGTCGGGAAGTGTTGGCGTCGATGAGCCAACTCTGGCCCGATATGACAAACGCCATCAGAGCGTTGATCTCTTTCTTCAAGTCATCGTTGATTAGAGATTTAATTCCTGCAAAAATTCTGTCCGTTTTGCCGGAATTTGATGGCGAAGAAGAACTCGGCTGTTGTTCGTAGATATTCAACACATTGTCTCCTTTGTTAAACTGTTCCTCCGGTAGGAAAAAGTCCAACACAAGAGGGTTTCCGGGTTTCACTGCGTACTGATCCAAGTCTTGGATGCCTTCGCTTCGCAAAAAGTCTTCGTCTATTACGAAATTTCCGGTGAATGACTTCGAGTTCTTCGAGAGTATACCATAAGCACAGTCCGAGAGAATGTCTGCTTTTCTGCATCTGTTGGCTAACTCAGGACTTCCCGAACCAATCATACTCATAGCCGCCGTCCAAATGGCAGTTCGCGGCCAAAGAGCGTTCACTGCAATGCCGTCCGCTTTGAATTCGTGAGCCATTCCGAGGACACACATAGACATCCCATACTTAGCCATAGTGTACGCCACGTGAGGCGCGAACCACTTGGGAGTCATCACAAGCGGTGGACTCAGATTCAAGATATGAGGATTCGATGACTTGCGGAGGTATGGAATCGCATACTTGGATGCCATGTAAGTGCCCCTCGTATTGATTGAATGCATTAAATCGTATTTCTTCATTGATGTCTCTTCAGTGCCTTTAGTTTCAATTGAGGAAAAAGTCATTAATAATTGCAATCAAATTATGTGTCAAATCCTGAATACTTGTCAAACTGATAGCACTGGCGTTGTTCACCAACACATCCAATCCTCCGAAGTGTTTCACAGCCTTCTCGAGCGCACTCTTCACTCCCTCTTCGTCTCTGAGATCGCATTGAATGGGAAGACATTTTCCTCCGGCGGCCTCAACTGATATGACAACACATTTAAGTACTTAAACGTATGGATCAAAACCAAATGCAAACCTTCTTCGGCGGCGCTATATATGGTTCCCTCAAGTTTTGGGTGTTTGTCGACAGTCTTGGCGGCGATCACGACATTAGCGCCGTCTTTGGCCACTTTGAGGGCAATGGCTTTCCCACCAAATGCAAACCTTCTTCGGCGGCGCTATATATGGTTCCCTCAAGTTTTGGGTGTTTGTCGACAGTCTTGGCGGCGATCACGACATTAGCGCCGTCTTTGGCCACTTTGAGGGCAATGGCTTTCCCTATACCACGACTTCCTCCCGATATAAACACTGTCTTTCCCGCGAATACGCTATCAATTCATTGAATCAGTTGTCAAATAATGACACAAAAAGTTTTGCATATATTTGAGGCATTAATTGTCTCATCAAAAATACAAACCCTGTGTTAAGCATTGTATTGACGCCAATAAGTGTTTCGCTAAAATGAGTGTCGATTTGATTAATAATTATAATAATATTATAATTTGAATGAATGTGTGATGTGTTGACTACAACTGACACTCAATTCAATGCTAATTCAATGCCAACTGAAGTCCAAAACCAGATTCACTGACAAAACACACTCTGTTTGATGTAAACGTCAAACACTATAACGTTATTACTGTTGACGGTTTTCAATGCGATTCTCACACACTTTTGCCACAATTTAAAGTTTAACTAAAGTTTAATTAATGCACACTTAATGTACTCATTATTCAAATGAGAGGTTATTTAAGTACTAATCAACACTTTTTGCACACTTTGTACTTATTATATA